GGGCCTTCCCATGAAGAAGACAGCTTATGAGACTTCCCTTTGGTCTTCCTGGGATTATACAACCACACCTTGTCTCCTGGTACAAAGTTGACTTCAGTAGATCTCTTATCATAACATAACTTCATCGAATCAGCAGACGTTTTCAAGTTTGAACGCACTTGATGGTGAATATCATCCATCCTTTCCGATAACACTTTCACGAACTCTGGCACATTTTCACACAACTCTTCGTAAGGTGGGTATCCTGTTATCAGGTCCACTGACAACCGAAGTTTCCGACCAAACATCAGCTTTGCTGGAGTGTATCCAGTGGTTTCATGCTCAGCTGTCCTACATGCCATCAACAGTGGAGGGAGTAAGACATCCCAGTCATCTTGGCGGCTATTACAAAACTTTGCCAATTCCTGTCCCAGTGTCCAATTGTACTTTTCTACCATCCCATCGGACTGTGGGTGAAGTGGCGTTGTCCTGGTCTTTCGTATACCAAACAACTTGCAGCATTCATGGAACACAACTGATTCAAAGTTACGGCCTTGATCCGAATGCAGTTCGTATGGCATACCAAATCTGAAGAAGAAATCAGTAATAGCCAAAGCTACAGTTGCAGCTTCCTGACTTGGTATTGCATATGCCTCAGGCCACTTGGTGAAATAATTTATCACCACACAAATGTACTTGTTTCCAGCACGAATTTGGGGCAAAGGACCAGCAATGTCAACAGCTACTCTTTCCATTGGTGCGCCAACTTGATATAACTTCATTGGAGCATGTCCCTTATGCTTGGGTCCCCTTTTAGCACAACATATACTGCAGATCCTGCACCATTCTTCCACATTTTGCCTCATACCTAACGAGTATAATCTCTGTCGTAGGTGACACAATTTCTTCTTAACTCCGACATGTCCTCCTGTTAAACTATCATGGGATTAATGCATCACAAATTCCCGTAACTTTCTCGGTATAACTGTTTGCCAGGTCGTCACTTTCCCATCTGCAGTTCCCATCTTCGAACAAGAATACCATCTTGAAGCTTCAACTGGTTCCATTGTGCCCAATAGTTTTTTGTCACAGGGCTTAAGCTAGACAACTTCTCCCAAGCAGGGCCCAAAACACTTACTTTTAGAAAATCAATTATTGGCTTCAAATCCTGGTCTTTCTCCTGCTCTGCTTTAATATCTATACCTGGTTCCATTTCACCATCATCAACTCCTTTAGTCACTTTGACTTCAGCTTGATGACACATGGTTAGTTCAACTTCTCTTTTAAAACTTACCGAAATTTGGCCTTTGTTGTTCCCAAACGTCATTTTATCAAAATTAATTACACACTTTTTCGGTAGTAAGTAGTTCAACCCTAGTATGCATAGATGTTCAATGTCAGCCAAGTATACTTTGTGTCTGTTCTCTATGCCCATGAGCTCAATAATTACCCACACTGGTCCCCACAATCTTGTATAATGTCCTGTCACACCACAGAGTTTCTGTATGGCTTCTGGTACTCCTTTCTGATCTAGCACCTTGATATTCACAAGGGTTTGCTGAGATGCAGAATCTATGACAAAGTTGCACTTTTGGCCATCCAGCTTTCCTGTCACATAGACACTATGTGTGCTTGGCATTTTACACCTAGCTGTTGGGACTTTCACAATGGGGGTTGGTGGGCGTCCCTCAACACGAACCACTACTGGTTTCCCGAAGCTGACTTATTGGTAGTATTCTTCTTACATTGGCTCCTCATATGTTCTTGCTCTCCACATTTCCAACAACCTTTCTGGGTAGCAGCCTTTCCTGCCATGGCATCTTCCCTGTTTTGAAGTTTCCAGCATTGAGCTCTCTTATGCCCAGGTTTGTTACAGTGCCAGCAAAGTCCCGAAAAATCCACTGGGTGGTGCAGTTGGGTAGGCCTTCTGTGCCATACTTTTCAAATCCAGTGCCAGCTCTCCTTTAGCATGGACTCTAGTCCTAAACCTAGCCCTGTAGACTTTGGATTGATTTTGGGTTCCATACCTGAGTTCTAGAGTAGCTACCAGTGGTCTATAGTTGTGCCTGTCTTTTGCTGACAACTGTCCAAGTATTTCCAGTGGTTGTCCCTTCAAGCTCGTTGCCAGGTACACTGCCTTCTGCTCCTCTGTTCATCCATTCATTTCTGCCAGGAGCTCAAATTGTGCTCTATATGCTTCCCATGATGCCTTCCCATCGAATTCCTGTGGCTTCCTTCGTACTAGATCACCCCTATTGCTGACACTCATGTCTGGGATGTGACTTCTGACAGGACTGAGATTGTCTGCATTAGGGTTTAGCTGCGGGGTCTGGAAGGGGCTGCCCATTGTCTGGGGCTGATTAGGTAGATGGCTAATATATTCTCCTTGTGTAAAAGACAGTAAATCATCCTTTAATGTATTT